GAAGAGAGAAAAGGACTAAAGACTAAGAAAAGTGCTGGTGTGATTGCCTGACCCGGTTCCCCACTTCTGTGACATACTAAGACAAATGTTTAAAAAGAAGGCAATAATAGTGAGGCATAATAAAGCGTCATTAACATTGCTTTTGAAAAATAAAATCCACAACTATTTGTATTTTATGTATGTTGCCTCATGAGTGAATTGTTCCAGTAACGTCTGGCTTGGGGTGAGATGTAGTACATTTTGTGGCATTGTCACCAGTCAATGCTGCCTAATTCAGTGGGTTTAGTTTAAATGTCTTTAGTAATTATTACTTATGGCATTATGTTAGGGTCTTTGCCGATAAAACTTGTAATTTTTGTAGAAATAATGCAGAGTTGTAGTTATGAAGGTCAGAAGTTCTGGAAGAAATATAAGTAATGCCTCTTGGTTGCAACATAGCATAGATCTTGCTACTCTTAAAAATAGATTTTAAAATTATACCAGGATTGAAATTGCAGAAGAAACCTCTCTGTTTTGTTTTGTTCTTGCTCTTCCTATCATCCGTACTGCATTTTTTCTTCTCTTTCAGTTTTCAGCTCATATTTCTTTTCATTTAGGATCTTAGCCTAATTCCATCTGCCTCCACAAAGGTTACTTTTGCCATTTTGGACGCATGAGGCAGACTTAGAAAGAGTGACCATGAAAATCTGATATTAGTAATTAAGTGGCTCCATCATATTCCCCTTTTATTTCTTTTTTTTCTTTGTGGATGATACTGTCCCATTTTCCTCTGTGAAACTGTTAAAGGCCAGTATTTGACTACAACTTCAGGAAGTATAAATTAACACAGAACTGCTTTTGTTGCTTTATTAGCAATCAGCATTATTAATCTTTTAGAAAATAATGTGCCATTTGGAAGATAACTTTATGCTAATTAAGCTGAAGGTGTTTGTGGTTGGTTAGCTGAAGATCATATAGCCTAGCTTTAGTTATAGTTTGTCACTGAAAGTTATGTAAAGTCCAGCGAATAGACAGGTGAAAGTGAAATATTTTCTCCCTACTGTATCTGTGTGTTTCAGTTCAGGGATAATCACAGTATTTTTTTTTTCCTCTAAGCAAATAGCACATTGTTAGCTTTTGTAAGAAGAAAGCTCGGTTGCGGTTTTTTGTGTGTTCCAGCTTTTCTAAAGTAGAAAAAGTTGATGTTAAACTTGCATATGATCTGTTTCTTATCTTAATTGCAATGTTTTGATACTGTGGTTAAACAGATATTTAGAAAGATCTTTCAGGAGTAAGATATGGGCTTGTAGTCTAGATATGGAAGTAAGAGATGTTCTCCAACTGTGGGTGGTATGCTATTAAGAACACAAATTTATTTCTAATTGCATGGTTAGTGACTCTTTTTATAGTTCTCAAGTGCCTTAAGCTCTTTTAGTTGAAACGAAATGAGTATGAAAAAGCAATAATTGTAAAAGCTAAAGGCCCCCGGTAATAAGCATTCAGCTTAGCATTCCACCCTAGGGATGTTTGAAGAGGGTGGGCACGATTATCCTCAGTGCTTACTTTAAAAAAAGAAAGCACAAAGCAGTGAAGTGACTTAAAAAAATCTAAGGAGAAATGAACTGTTCATTATGAGAGAAAGTGACATGTAGGTTTTGCTCTTGGGTTCCCTCAGAAGCAGTCTTAGCCCTCATCTCTAGGGATGACTGCAGGAAGTTAAAACAAGTTTGCTACTACGCAAGGATCAGATTGGTGACCTTTTCTAGGTTTCTTTGAGTCCTAGACTTCAGGGCTGCTCTGGGCTATGCTGACGTGGATCTTTTCCCCAAGTTCATGCTTGAATTGCATTTAGTTGAATGCCATTCATATATGGAAAAAGTAGATTTGGGATTTATTTTTTTTTTACCTAAGCATTGTGTTTGTTCTCCTCCAGTTGTTCTGTCTTTTGTGCTTTACTGAACTGTTACTTTTTCTGTTGCCTGAGTATGAAGATGTAACATCAACAACCAGCTGTCTATTATGTGATGAACTCATTTAGCAGTTCCCCTGGATTTGCAGAGAATTGTGAATTGATGAGAGAATTTTAGGATGAGGCTACCTGCCCCTATACATAGACTGGCTGCCTGAGAAGTTTTCCTCTTGCTTTACTGTCTTCTGTAGGTTCAGAAATATTTTGTTTTCATGTATACTCTTGATTTGTCAGAAATATACATATTTCTTTAGCAACTTTCATGATTGTTTGGAAGACTCATTTCAAGATTGTGATAGTGTTTCTATTATTCACTGGTTTCTTGGTTGTAATAAACCTCTACAGCATTTAAGAACCCATAATCCTGCTTCTCTTAGTAGTGACATTTCTCAAACCTCTTTAAGCTGAATGTTTAAACTTATGGTAAACTCTTCCTATTACCAATGAAATAATTATGTCTGCTTAAAAGCACTTCTTTTATTTTCCCCTTCAATATAGAAGTTGCCATCCCTCCCTGCTATTTTTGCAAAATGATTCATAAGAAACCATGCAGAACGTGGTTGTGTCCAGATTGAAAATGTTACATGCCCTCCCACATGTAAAAATGAAATGTATGTTTTGCTACTAAGACTGCAAAGACTTCATTGATGTCTGCATGTAATTAAACGTGTTAGATTTTCTTTCTGGCTGTACAGCAAATGTTTCCTGAATGCCAACAGCTGTTATTAGGAAAATGCTCGCTGGTCAACCTGGTACTTCTGCACAGGTGGCTTTATATAGTGGATGAGGGGAAGGCTGTGGATATGGTCTACCTTGATTTCAGCAAAGCCTTTGGCACAGTCTCCCACTCCATCCTCCTGGAAAAGCTGGCAGCCCATGGCTTGGACGGCTACACCCTTCTCTGACTGAAAAACTGGTTGGATGACCAAGTCCAGAGAGTTGTGGTGAACGGAGTTAAATTCAGTTGGCGACTGGTCATGAGTGGTGTCCCCTAGAGCTCGGTACTGGGGCCACTCCTGTTTAACATCTTCATCAATGATTTGCATGAGAGGATGGAGTGCACTCTCAGTAAGTTTGCAGACAACACCAAGCTGGGTGGAAGTGTTGATCTGCTTGAGGGTAGGGAGGCTCTCCAGAGGGATCTGCATAGGCTGGATCACTGGGCCAAGGCCAACTCAATGAAATTCAATAAGGTCAAATGCCAGGTCGTGCAGTTTGGCCACAAGAACCCCCAGCAGCGCTACAGGCTTGGGGAGGAGTGGCTGGAGAGCTGCCAGGCAGAGAGGGACCTGGGGGTGTTGATGGACAGCCGGCTGAACATGAGCCAGCAGTGTGCCCAGGTGGTCAAGAAGGCCAAAGGAATCCTGTCCTGGATCAGGAATAATGTAGTGAGCAGGAGCAGGAAGGTGATCATGCCCCTCTACTCAGCTTTGGTGAGGCCTTACCTTGAGTACTGTTTCCAGTTTTGGGCCCCTCACTACAAGAGGGACATCGAGGTGTTGGAGAGGGTGCAGAGGTGGGCTACCAAGCTAGTAAAGGGCTTAGAACACAAATTATATAAGGAAAGGCTGAGGGATCTGGGGCTGTTTAGCCTGGAGGAGATTGAAGGGAGACCTCATCACTCTCTACAACTACCTGAAGGGACGTTGTAGTGAAGTGGGAGTTGGTCTATTCTCCCTTGTGGAGAATGATAGGACGAGGGGAAATAAATTTAAATTGCGCCAGGGGAGGTTCACGTTAGGGATTAGGAGGAATTTCTTTACTGAAAGAGTTGTCAGGCATTGGAACAGGCTGCCCAGGGGGGGTCGAGTCACCGTCCCTGGAAGTGTTTAAGAGACGACTAGATGTTGCATTGGGGGACATAGTTTAGTAGGTTAATAGGACTAGGACAAAGGCTGGACTCAATGATCTTCAAGATCTCTTTGGGCTGAAACTATTCTATGATTCTGTGATTCTATATAAAGCTTAAGAACACATTGGTTTTCCTTGCCTTAGTAACACTAGAAGCATTTTATGAATTAAAAGTTCATTTTTAAAACAGTTGCATATAGCAAAGTTGGTTTTTTTTGATAGGATAAGCTGATTTAAAAATGAGACTTAAAACATGAAAACTTAATCAGATTTTTCATGTGGGTTATTAGGTGGGATATAAAGCATATGTTCTAATCAGAGCTTGCATGAATTACCGTGAAGTCACAGCATCTGATGAACTTTGAAGAGTGGTCCTGTCACCAATGTTAGTTGTATTTGGTGTGCTCTCTGCCTTAATAATTCCATTTCTCTATATCCACTGAGGTTTTGACCTATCACAGAAACGTTCACAGCCCCCAGCTACCCATCTGTTAGTCTTGCTTGTAGAAACTGCCTCGCATGCTACATCAGGTGACAGCCACGTCCCCAGCAGGCTGTGTGGAGTGAGATGGTTGAGCTCGGGTGTCCCGAGTGTTTTGTATCCCACGCCTGTCTTCCTTCCTATTGCACGGAGTGTTATAAACAACCAGTGGCTCCCCTTTCTCTTCTTTTCCTCCTCCTGGGGTTTTTCTTCTCTTCTTTGGCAGTGTACACAAACATGTCAGTTCAGCTCAGCTTGACAGGAATTATTCAGCTTAGTTTTCTTTCTTAGTGACTTAAGATTATCGCTGGTGCCTCTGTTTTTCAGTGTTCCCACTAGAAGCGTGGCATTTTTGTCTGCGGTGAGGGACTGCTGGTTGAAGCCGCTTGTCTGGCAGGCATGTGACTTGCTGGCATGTGCCAAAAAGATGTAAAGTGGAGGAAGATGGTTAGCTATCTCAAGGAAGGAAGCAACAAGAACTAGTGAATGATATAAACATTTACCAGTATTTCCTTTCTGCGGTGGCTTTGCGCTTTGGTTGCCTGAATCCTTCCATTCTGCTCGAGACTTTGAAATCTTGTGTTTCAGCCTAAAGACTTTTCAATTCAATTTAATTCTTTTTCAGTATAAATAATTCAGTTTAATTCTTCGTATGTATAAATCTAGGAAGGGTGAGTGATTGGATCAATTTAACCTGCCTTTTCTGCTTTACTTTTTCAGGATTGCACAGTTTATGAAACAGAGAATAAAATTCTTCATGTGGTGAGTAGTGTTTGGATTTCTATTAATAAATGTATTTATATAGACTACATAGAATTATAGAGCTCTGTCTTCTGTGCTTTTTCTGTGCAGTGCCAGTGTGATCATGAACTAGTCTGGGTATGATTGAGTGAACATATGGAACTACTTCTTCCATAGATATGGATGTTATGATGTTGTGGAGGTGACGGTGTTATAGAAGCTGAACTTGGCATATGAGAAGCCAGAAACTTTGCAAGGGCTTGTATATGTCTGCTTCAGGCCCGTCTGCTATTTGTAAACCATGGTCGGAAAAATGATTTTAAAAGTGGTTGTTTGGTTTTTTTTGAGAGAGAGCCAGTTGCTAGACTTCTGTGAAGTAATATATATTTACGTTAGTGATGCATCTGCATTTATACAGCCTTATTCCTCATAAGAGCATGGAGTTAACCTAGTGATAGGAAAAATAATGCAATTCTTTCCTTTTGAATTTTCAGCTTAAACACAACAGTCTATTCCCAGAATCTATAGTTCTATTGATAATAAACAAAGCAGACAGAAGTTATCAAGGCATCAGAACAAAGGGTGGGTTTGAAAGGCTGATACTTTGGTGGACAGAGAGTCAAAAGCTTGAGTAAAGTTCTTCTGAAAACTGCATCTGAGTTTCAGATACTGGATTGTGTTTTGTGTTCTAGCTGCAGTTTAGAGAGTATTAAGTTAACCAGAGCTTGTTTCTAAAAGTTAGATATGAAGATTTACTTCCCAGGAGTAAGTAATGGATTGGTTTAATTTATTCACTGTATTTCACATTTAAGTAGATTTTGATATCTTACTACAGCTTAACCAAGAAAATATTGCATTTCTTTATTTTTAAAGGTGAGCTTTCCAGTAAATCTTCCTTTTTTTTTTTTAATTTTGTTTCCCCCCCAGTGCTACTGTATCAAATGCTTGGCAAGCTGAAATCTATAAGCTTTTGATGCTTTGATTTCACAGTGATGTGGAATAAAATGTCTTCTTGTATTTTTACATTTCACTGACATTTTTCCCCTGTGGAACACAAAGAATTAGCAATTTTAGTGAGGCTGACATCATCGTCTTTGCTAGGCTGATCTCTGCAAATATTTAAGTAATGAAGTTTTTAATTGCCTAATCTTGGCAAAAGTTGAAGTGCTATAAATTTCAAACCATTACATATATAGCTTGGTTTTCAATTCATGCTTGTTTTCTGCTTCAAGATCTAGTTCTGACATCTGCTTTATACAGTATATATCATACAAATTAGCAGAAAGGACTGTAAAGAGACCTGCAGTGTTTAGAGCTGGTGAAGTATCAGTTAATGTAGTTTTCGTAGAGCTTTTGAGGAAACTGAGAGGGACTCGTTTAAAATGTGTGAACACAAAAATTTCAGACAGGTTTAAAAAGTTTTATTATCTTACGTCATTCAGACTTACATAGGTTTATTTCTTTAATCCATAGTAACTTCATTATGGTGGCAGGTGGACATGTATTATTGTGGAGAGCTTAATTGGCTTTTATGATTAGTGATCAAACTTGCAAGAGAATGTGAGTAGACCGTTGAATGTTTTACTGACTCCTACGATTAAAAGTGGCTATATCTGTTACACATAACTTGGATCATTTCTGACCATGTTGCATTTCAGCTGATGGATGGGATTTCATGGGGCAAAAGCTGACCAAAGCATTCGAGAAAAAAGAAAAATCTGTGATTAAATAAATAAAACATGGAATTTGAAATCATATTTTGAATTTGAAAGGGAATATTTTACAAATGGAGCTGAAAATGTTGATGATAGAATTGAAAGCAGTTACAATTTACTCCAACCCCTCTCCCTCAAGGACAGAAAAAAGTATTGTGGCTTTAGCACATTAGACAATCTGGGGAGGAACATTCTAACAGGTAGATTTAAAAAAGAGGGGAACAGCCTACTGTGGTCAAGATCTTTAGACTGTGCGTGGATTTTTTTATGTCATTGTCAAGGAACAGAGTATTTTAGAAAACTTACGAGTTAACAGTATTTGAATGCATGAGCACAAGCTAAAGATATTCTAGAAGGGGATTAAGAGTTTATCTCCTGTTATAGACTGCACATCCAGTAAATGTAGAGGTGAATTTTAAAAGTAAGGTTCTCTGGTATAAAAAGAATAGTAGTAGATTTGGTAAAGACATAAAAAGAATCTTAGTTGAGAAATACTGGAAGAACTAGGCAAGATTGGCAAGAGAGGACATGTACACAGCTACTATAAAGAGAGAAAGGAAATTCTTTCTTCTCAAATTCAAAGACAAGATATTGCAAGTCCATTTTCTGAGTATATTTCCCATCTGCAAACCATACAAACTCCTGGAGATAACAGAAGTGGTGTCTTCTATGAAAATAAATTGTGTGAGTGTTATTCTTTAGGACCCCAAGAACTTTATCACCTTAGGAGCAGATCATTGGATCAAAGTAGTTGATTTTTATCTGCATTACCTATTGGTAGTCCAGTGGTTTACTTCAGGTTGGACCTGTGTTCTGGGTTGAACATCTCTATTGATCACATCATTTAAAGTGTTATTTTGGTCTTATATGCCATGGCTCAGGGACTGGAGCTCGGTAAGCACACATCTCCTGTGGGACTGCTGCCCCATTCTCCCTTGAGTGAGCCTACTTTGTGCCAAATCAGGGGACAAGAGGGTGTGTGGGCCTAGGCAGGGCATGTGAGTCCACTCTGCTGCTGTTGCAGCGCATACAGGGATACCTCCAAAGTCAACCTGTCACTGAGTCTTCACGCTTTCCTTTAAAGCATGGTGGAGTAGGCAGCACAGAATCATAGAATCACAGAATGGCTTAGGTTAGAAGGGACCTTAGAGATCATCTAACCCAACCTCCCTGTCCTGGGCAGGAACGCCTCTTAACTAGCCCAGGTTGCTCAAGGCCTCATCCAACCTGGCTTGAACAGGAGGGGGCATCCACAACTTCTCTGAGCAATCTATTCCAGAGTCTCACCACTCTCATACTGAAGAATTACTACCTAAGATCCGATTTAAACCTACTCTCCTTCAGTTCGAGACTGTTTCCCCTTGTTCTGTCACTGGACACTCTTGTAAAAAGTCCCTTTCCAGCCTTCCTCTTGATTCCCTTTAAGTCTTGGAAGACTGCTAATAAGGTCACCCCAGAGTCTTCTCTTCCCAGGCTGAACAATCCCAGCTCCCTCAGCCTGTCCTTGTAGCAGAGGTGCTCCAGCCCCTGGATCATCTTTGTGGCCCTCCTCTGGACTCATTCCAACAGATCCATGTCCCTCTTATGGTGGGGACACCAGAACCGGACACAATATTCCAAGTGGGGTCCCACAAGAGCAAAGTAAAGGGGCAGAATCGCCTCTCTCAACCTGCTGGCCACACTCCTCTTGATGCATCCCAGGATGCAGTTGGCCTTCTGGGCTGCATGAGCGCACTGCTGGCTCATGTGGAGCTTCTCATCTATCAACACCCCCAAATCCTTCTCTTCAGGGCTACTCTCAGCCCACTCTTGTGCCCAGTTTGTATTTGTGCCTGGGATTCGCCCAACTCAGGTGCAGGACCTTGCACTTTGACTTGTTGAGGCTCATGCAGTTTGCACTGGCCCATTTCTCAAGCCTGTCAAGGTCCCTCTGGATGGCATCTCTTCCCTCAAGTGAGTCCACGGCACCACACAGCTTGGTGTCGTTGGCAAAATTGCTGAGGGTGCACTCAGTGCCGTCGTCCATGTTGCTGACAAAGATGTTGAACAGCACTGGACCCAGAACAGACCCCTGAGGAACTCCACTTGTCCCTGGTCTCCACATGGACATCAAGCTGTTGATTGCAACTCTTCGAGTCTGACCTTCTAGCCAAAGGCAAGATCTTCAATTAAATGACTGATTGATTTTTTTTAATTAGGTAGAGCTAAAAAGCAGTTAATGTACTCATATTCTAATGGCAGTGATTTGTGTTGGAAAGCAGCTGAATACCCTCTCCCTTTCAGCAGTGGCAGTGTGGGTGTTCATGTGGAGACACTGCTGAATCACCTTGTCCATAGATAGTATGTTTTAATATCGAATTTATTCAGATGTTAGCTTTTCTAGATATTACTGATGCATTCAGAAAATGGTATTCTGTGGAGAGAGAACTGTATAGCTTCAGCTTATATTCAGGAAAAAATATTTTTGCTTCAGGCAACTTGAGTTTCAAATGCTATATAAAAGCATTTTGATTGTCACTCACAATATTAGGTTAAATAGTAAACTAATCTGTGTTATTCAACTAAACATATAAAATGTATCTAAAGGAAAAGGTATTATGGAAAACTGCTGAAGTTTTAAGAGGAAATTACTGACTTCAACTTATTTTTCTTCTAAATGGAGTTGCAAAATGTATCTGGGAAAAAATGTGTTCTATACTTTTCTGCCCTACAGTTGCAGGTCTGTTGAAACATTTATTTTAAAGACAACTGTATTTCTTAAAGGTTTTTTTTTTTCTTCTGTGAATTGGTTCACAGAAACACTTGGTTTCTGTGGAATAAGAAACATAAAACCACACAGGAATAGTGTGTAGGTTTTTGCTCATTAAAATGTTGATGCATTTGAAATATTCATGAATACAGAGAAATGCTTCATATTTCTGCCACTCCATTTCTCCGTATGTTTTTTCTGGGTTACATTTTGCTCAGTAAGCAATGTAGTAAGTAAGTAGGTAAATTAATGAATGAATGTAATAATTTATTAATATAAAAAGAATCACCTGAGAAACCTGAACATACCTAAGTCGATGGGACCTGATGAGATGCATCCCAGTGTCCTGAGGGAATTGGCTGATGCAGTTGCCAAATAACTCTCCATGACGTTTGAAAAGTCAGGTGAAGTCCCTGGTGTCTGGAAGAAGGGAAACATTACACCCATTAAAAAGGGTAGAAAGAAGGACCCTGGGAACTACTCGTCGGTCATCCTCACCTCTGTGCCTGAGAAGATCGTGGAACTGATCCTCCTAGAAGCTCTGCTAAGGCACATGG